AGAGAAAAGGTTGGAGTGAGAGAGATGAAAGAGAAAGGATTGAGAGGAATGAGAGAGGTGAGTAAGGGTTTGGGGGTTTCTTTTTTTTTTTTTTTTTTAAGTTTTGAGAATGAAAATTATTAAAATACCCTTAACCTTAAAACTTAGAATCCATGATATATAAGGGTATTTTTGTCTACTAAAATCCGTTACACATTGCTAAAATGTACCAACTGAAAAACAGGCGTACGCGCGTTAGCAAAACATATATATATATATATATATATATATATGTTTGTTTGTTAAAGAAAGTTACAGTGTGAAAGAGAATAATATTTGGGAAGTTTGAGGTGGGTGAAGGATAAGCAAGGGTTTGGTTGATTATAATATTTTAAGATATGATTTTTAACAAATTTGATAAATAGTAAATAAAGTATGTTATTTTTAATAATATAACAAATATTAAAGAGTGTGTTGAAGATATACTATCAACATTTCTCGTACGATCATAACACATCAACATTATATTTTAAACTAAAGCATACAGTATATATTTAATATAATACTGAATATTTTTGAAGTAATGATTTTATTTATGGATTTATATTTTAAAAATTACTTGATAGAAATATGAAAAAAGTGTGTAATTTAAGCACACCAGTTCAACATGCAGCTGCATGGGTTTAAATTTTTATAATAACTAAACAAAGTACACTAATATTGTCAATATATTAATTAATACATCCACTTGTATTGAAAATAAACGAGTGTCTTATCAATTAATATTGTGAATTATGACTTGTTTAGGCTGCCAAAAAGAAGAAAATTGGTGTAGAACTATTTATGGGCATATTGAAGAGAGTGGTTAGGTGTTTTTGGTCGAGAGCCAGGTTTTGTATGGTGAGATTTTAAAACAGCAAGTTTAGGAGTAAACTAGAATGTTGGAGTGAGTTATTTGGTGTATTATGACTTGTACATGATGTTGGCTTATGGAAGTTAGAAAAGGTGAAATTGAGTTTAGGTAGCTTAGGCAAGTGATATTGGGTTTTGAATGGTCATTTTGAGTTAGAGATGTGTTTTATAAAGTTTCATAGTGGTTAGAAGATCTTAGGAACCTTTCAAAGTAGTGGAAGAAGTGTACAAAGTTGTCTACAAAGGGTTGGAGTTTCCACTGGCGCCAGCATTGAGCGCCAACCCTTAGGCGTTCGAGTGTTACTAGGCGTCACTTCATCTGTTTTTTAAAGGGGGGGGGGGGATTAGGGTTCTGTATATCCGTTTTGGACGTTCTTTAAGTTATTTTGGGGGTTTTGGACCATTCTGAAACTGTTGGTGAGTGTTTCCAAGCTGTTTTCTTTACCTAATTGTGGGTAATAAGATGCCTTAAAGAAAATTGTGTTATTATGTAACTTTTGATGACTTGTTTGGTTGATTATGGTTCTTTGAATTATAATTAGTGATCTTAATGTAAAATGAATGAATTTGTATATAATTTACATGTGAATGGAAATTATGCATATGAATATTGTAAAGAAAAGTTTGTGAATGAAGTGAATAGTTGATGGACGTAATTCCATGACTCATGGAGAGGTTACATGGTTGTGTTTGTGTTGTTGTTGTATGAATGTATGAAGCTTCAGATTGATGGTCTATTTTGATCCTCTAATGATCATCCATTCTCAATTAGAGAGGGGTGAATCATGTGGTGAGAGTAGCGAAAAGTTCTTGTTTATAAGTTTTGATCATAGCCCTAGACAACTGAAATAGATTAACCTTGTATGGTAGCTTGGTTTCAGCCAGCAGTATTACCATTACAAGTGCACAGACCACCAATAATTCGATATTCATACCAAATCCTGATGAATCTTGTCTATGTTATGACATGCTTAGAATGATTGGTTTATTATGAAATATTTTTAAATTTAATGTTTGAATTTGTTAATATAATATATATAAATTGTCTTGTTATTGACTATGATCATTTGGTGGATGTGAACAAAGGATGTTGAAATATCAGTGAAGTAGACCCTAGAGGAAGGACCACTAACTACTTAATTTTTTAGTTTGTGTGGATTATATAATTTTTGGTTTTAACGTTGTTTTGTATATAAAGTTTATATTATGATGTATTAACTTTATATTTTTGTCTGTCATTCTTGTTTTATTGATTTTTTATGACTCTATTATAGTATTTATACTATATTTGGGACGTTACAAAAGTTGTGTAATTTAATTGATATGATAGAAAAAATGAAGAGGAACAAAAATTAAGTAAGAATAGATGAGAATAAATCATACCTTCACCCTTTTAACTAGAAATAATATGATCCTTTGAGTAGAAAAACTGGCTTACATATATAAATGGAGCATTAAAATAATCTAAATTAATAATTGAGATGTCAACAGCATAATTCACACTGACTTCTATGCTAGATATCAACATTACAACCCTTGTCTGATCTTTTACATACATTACAATAGATAGATAAAAAAATATGACTAGTATCTTAAATCCGTATTAGATATTAAACTACATGCAACACTTATAGCCTGAGACGCATTGATCGAACCACCTTCAAAGAAAATAGTTAGCACCTAAAGAATTCAATATGATGCAGATATTTGCCTCGAAACGAAAAAAAAAGATTTTGACTTTTTCATACAGGAATAATCTGTACTAATGAAAGATGTGAAGCCACCAAACAGACCACAACTTGATCCCAAAAAGTGATCCCGATTAATTGCATGAAAGAATAGATCATGAAAATTCCTCAAAAGACTAAAGTGCGGAAAATATAGAAGGCTTTGTGCACAGCAAGAATGACCTCTGACCATATGTCCTCATAACTCACGAGGAAAGTTATTGATTTGTCCTTCTTCCAGTGTCTCTTTGCCATTTATCTTGTACGATACCTTTATGCGCATGACAAGAGACTTCTGAAATAAAATAATTGCTAGTCGTCACATTTTCTCCAAGAAGCATTTGTATATAAAATCATAAGGCACATGTTGTGTATTAGTAAGTCTACCTTTCCATGTTGAGAATTAGTAAGTCTCATATTTTGCGTGATGGACTCCTTTCCACTAGCAGTGAGGATATTGCCGCTAGCCGGATTTAAGTGCAACTGAAGAAACTGAAAATACAAAAAAAAAAAAGTAAGGAGATGGGAAATACGATAACCATGATTTTCAAAATGTAAATATTTAACACTCAAAATTTGGAATAACTAAACACATAAATAGGATATCATTCATAGTGGCATTTTATTGCTAGAAGTTCTTGTTACAGTCATAGTCATAGTCACGGTCAATCAAAAGCCGAAACAATTAAACAGCCCCAAGCTCTGGTTTCTTTATGTTGTGAAGTTCTTATTACAGGTTTTTTTAAACCAGAATGGTAGTGTGCTCAAACATCATTGTGTTGTTTGTCATCCCAACTAGATCTGCACCACAAACAACACCAACTATTTGAAACACCTCAAAATCACAATAGAACAGAAAAGAAAAAAATACATGTGATGTGACGACCAAACTAAAACTCACTATTTAACAAAAAACCAATAACAAGGAAAAATTCTAATCTATTCCTAAAAAACTCTAGAAGAGTAAAACTGAGAATATTATTCCACTAGAAATAACCCTGAAATATAGACCCATAATAGGTAAACTTGTGTCTAGCTCCCCTAAAGATATGAGAAAAAGGCTAAAATGTAAACTCTGCCCAATATAATTCAACCAACTGTATCTAAGTTGCCGAAGAGTTAGTTTACTTTTCCAAAAAGCTTTTATTAGAAAGTGGACTTCAAGCAAAGTTTAACCTCATAAGACCGATTTATAAAATAAAGTTTACACTCTCATATATACTATAATTTGATTATATCTTTAGTCAATGTAGGATTTCCAATACATCTCTCCATGTTAGGAATGGAATATCTCAAACATGAGACTATATATTTGGGTGATATTCAAACCTAACTCAACTTCATAAAATTAACTTCTAAAGTGAGATTTGTACTCACTTATTATTATTATTTAATCATATCTTAGTCAATATGAAATCTCCAACAACTTAAATAACCAACTATGAATCAAACCCAATCCATAAATTTATCCTAACCTTTAGAATAGCTATTTCCAAAGCCAAAATTGCACCCATAACCTCTACATATAAAATATATTGAATTCCCAAATAAGCATACAGAGAACCTACTATAAAAGCTCTATAGTCTCTAAAAATACCACAGCTCTATTATAAAAGCTCTATAGTCTATGAGTCTATAAAAGTACTACTACATTCAGCTCTATTACAAACTTACCCAGACTCCCCCTGAGCAACAAACCCAGGAGGTTGCTCCATGTATATCTCTTCTTTTAGATCACCACGAAGAAAAGCATTTTTAATGTCCAACTGGTAAAGGGACCATTGATGAATGACAGCCATAGCAAGCAAAATAGGAACAATACTGGTTTTGGCCACAGGAGAACAGGTATCACAAAAGTTGAGGCTATAGACTTGAGTATACCCATTAGCTACCATACGAGCTTTGAGACGATCGATTGCACCAGTAGGACCAACCTTAATAGCATACATCCATCTACAACCAACAGGCTTCTTACCAGAAGGAAGAGGGACAAGGTCCCAAGTGCTTGCATTTCATCAATCATGGCTTGTCACCATCCAACATGACCAAGTGCCTCATGAACATTATTAGGAACCTTAATGGAAGATAAGGAGGAAACAAAAGAGAAATATGGAGGAGACAAACGATGATAACTCAAAAAATTATAAACAAGATAAGGATTACGAGTAGAACGAATACCTTTCCGAAGGGCAATAGGCCAATTATTATCTAAGTCAAGAGAGGGTGAGGAGGATGAAGGATCCATGGTTTGGGAATCTGATGGAGGAGGATCTGAGTCTCAAGGATCTTCAGTGTTCTGAGTTTGAGATTGTGTTCGACGTTGATATGTGAGAAGAGGTGGAGGAACAATGTCATTTGCATTTTGAGTTTGAGAAAAAGAAGCAGGAGTAACCAAGGGATCGCATGATGGTAGAGGAAACATTTGTTGAACAGATGAACGGTCCTCCATGGAGGACAAGAAAAAAGGTGTATCCTCAAAGAATGTGACATTAGCAAACATATAATACCTCTTGGTTGAGGGAGAATAACATTTATACCCTTTTCTGAAGGCGAGAGTATCCCAAAAAGACACACTTAATAGATTTTGCAGAGAGTTTATCAAGACCTGGAGAAACATTATGAACAAAAGAAATACATCCAAATATACGAGGAAAGACATGGTATAGAGGGTCATTTGGAAAAGTGACAGAATGAGGGACTTTATTCTCAAGAGAGGAAGAAGGCATCCTATTGATCACAAAACAGGCAGTGAGGACTGCATCACCCCAATGATGAACAGGAACATAGGTATTCAACATCAGAGAGTGTGCAGTTTCAATGAGATGTCTATTCTTTCTCTCTGCAATGCCATTTTGTTGTGGAGTGTGGGGACATGATGACTGGTGTAAAATTCCTTGGAAAGATAAGAATGAAGAAAATGATGCAGAAAAATATTCCTTAGCATTATCACTTCTGAGGATTTTAATTGTCTTCCCAAATTTGTTCTTAATTTCATTAAAAAAGGACACAAGTATTGCCAAAAGTTCATATCTCTTTCATTAAATAAACCCAAGTACATCGAGAGAATTCATCAATGAAGGTTACAAAATAATTAAAACCAAAAGAAGTAACACGACTTGGTTCCCAAATAGGAAGATCTAACATGTTTACCTAACTGGAAAGACTCACAATCTAAGACTTGAATGTGTTTGAGACTTGGAACCATCGTCTTCAACTTGGATAAGCTTGGGTGGCCCAACCGATCATGCAAAAGTTTTGGTGATGAAGTTGCGAAACAGGAAACTGAGGAGTTAGGTTTTAGGAAATAAAGTCCTCGTGACTGATAGGTACAAAGGAAAGGTTTACAGCAGAAGAAAAATTGTATGAGTTAGTTTATTGTATGACATAAAAGGAGCAAACAGTTATAACTGCCTGTGGGTAGGTTTTGTTGTCTCAGACTTTTATAAAGTGTATGTAAGCAATTGTGTTTAGCAGTTTTTTAGGAAGTTTTGTAAAGGAAAGGCTAGGGAGAGTCTAGTCCTCTTGAAAGACCAGGGTTAGTGTAACAATTTAGATTACTGTGCTTGTTTCATTGTTAATAAAGTTGTCTAGTTTTTCTGGGTGAACATCCAAGAACCTGTCTTGGAAATCTTTACAGTTTTAAATAAATCTGGGTGACTATCATTGGTATCAAAGCCACTTTCCTGGTGCTATGGTGGCTGTGAAGCATGGTCAATACGAGAATGGAGGCAAGATTGGATGGATTGGAGAGCATAGTGCAAGAACAGGAACATGAAAAACAGAGAAGGTTCCAAAGGTTGGAGGAAATGATTACAGGAATGACAGGGTTGGTGGAAAGTTTCACATCCTCTAATAAACAAACAGCGGATAGTGCTTCTGTTGCGAAGGACGATAGTTATGAAGCGGGGAATGAAAGTGGATGTTCAGGAGTGATTGGGGAGAAATGGCAGAGGCTCGATATTCCTGTTTTTGCAGGAGAAGATGCTTATGGCTGGACTAACCGCTTGGAGAGATATTTTCGGATGAAAGACGTCAATGAGGAGGAGAAGATGAGGGCTGTTATAGTGGCTTTGGAAGGAAAAGCCCTGAATTGGTTTCAGTGGTGGGAGACTTGTTATCCGAATCCCACATGGGAGGCTTTCCAAGAGGCGGTTGTTCAACGATTCCAACCAACAATGCTTCAAAATCCTTTTGAAGTCTTGATTGGACTTAGGCAGATTGGGCGGGTGGGAGAGTATATTGAACAATTTGAGCAATATGCGGGATTCTTGAAAGGTATGAGGCAGGATTATTTGATTGGCATTTTTCTGAATGGATTGAAGGATGACATAAGGGCAGAGGTTAAGTTATATGAGCCCAATAGCCTTGCTGAATTAATGATGAAGGCTCTAATGGTGGAGGACAAAATTCAGATCACTTCCAAGGGAGGATCTTTGATGGTGTCGCGATCTAATACTACTTTCAGACCCCTACCACAAACTAGGAGTCATTCTTTGGAGGGAGGAAGTGCAACAACGTTTTCCAATTCTTCCAGGGGAGGAGGTGAAGACAGTGGCTTTGTGACAGTGGCTTTGTGAGTACTGTTAGCAGTTCTGCATCTGGACTGCAACAAAAGAGAGCACCCTTCAAGAAGTTATCTCCCGAAGAGCTGCAAGATAGGATAAAAAAAGGCTTGTGTTTCAGGTGTGATGAGAAATTTGGTCCAAATCATACCTGTAGGAACAAACAGCTTCATATGCTGCTGATTTCTGATGAGGATATCAAAGATTTGGAAGGTGGAAAGGACCTTATACCCTTGCCAACGGAAGAAGGGGAGGACACTACACAAATTTTGCAATTATCCCAATGTGCAATGGCTGGCCTCACTACAAAAAAATCATGGAAATTGTGGGGAACGATTGGCAATGAAAAAGTGGTGATCTTGATTGATTGTGGCGCATCTCACAACTTCATTTCACATGAATTGCTTACCAAATGTGGGCTGCAACAGCAACCCACCTTGCCATATATGGTGGAAGTAGGGGATGGGCACAAGGTGCGTTGCCAAGGGAAGTGCCAGGGGTTGATTCTGGAGGTTCAGGGATTGCAGATTCAGCAAGATTTCTTTGTTTTCTCATTGGGAGGTGTTGATATTGTGCTGAGGTTGGAATGGTTGGCATCCCTTGGGGAAGTTCGGGCTGATTTTGGCAACTTACGTTTGTCTATTGGGAAAGGGCTGCAGGAACATGTTTTAAGGGGAGATCCCACATTATCTAGATTAGAATCCTCTTTAAAATCTTTGTGGCAGGATTTTAAGCAGCAAGGGACATGTTTTGTTATCCAGTGGGAAGAAATTAAGAACTCTGGGACTGTTCCAGTACCACCACAAGTTCTCTCAATTTTGGTAGCCAATGAGGGCATTTTCCAGGAGTAGAGGGCTTACCCCCTAGCAGAGAACATGATCATTCCATCCACTTACAAGAGGGTGCTGCTATTCCTTCTTTGCGGCCCTACAAGTACTCTCATCAACAAAAACATGAGATTGAGAGGTTGGTCCAGGAGATGTTACAAGCAGGAGTTATTAGGCCTAGCACAAGTCCTTATTCTAGCCCCATTATTTTGCGTTGATTATAGGGCTCTAAACAAGGTCACCATTCCCAACAAGTTTCCCATTCCAGTGATAGAGGAGTTGTTGGATGAATTGGCAGGTGCAACCATGTTTTCTAAGCTAGATTTAAAATCTGGTTACCACCAAATTTTGATGCGTAAAGAGGATATTGAAAAACCTGCTTTCCGCACCCATGAAGGCCATTATGAATTCCTAGTCATGCCTTTTGGACTGACCAATGCACCAGCAACTTTTCAGGCTTTGATGAATCGGATACTCCAACCTTTTCTGAGGAAATTTGTCCTTGTCTTCTTTGATGATATTCTGATCTACAGTCCAAACTTAGCTACTCATTTGACCCACTTAACAGAGGTTTTTAAGGTGCTGCATTAGCACAAATTGAAGCTCAATAAGAAGAAGTGTGTCTTTGGCCAACTACAATTGGAATATCTGGGCCATATTATTTCCCAACAAGGGGTGGCAGCAGACCCGTGGAAGGATATGGTAAGATTGCCAAACCTCTAACTCAACTATTATCTAAAGAGGGATTCCATTGGATAGCAGAGGCACAACAGGCCTTTGAGGAATTGAAGAAGGCTGTTTCCCAGTTACCAGTTTTGGCAATCCCTGATTTTTCTAAATCATTTACTTTGGAAACAGATGCTTCCAGCAAAGGTCTGGGAGCTGTTCTGTTACAAGAAGGGAGGCCATTAGCTTTTTGGAGTCAAGCTTTATCAGAAAGGGGCCAACAAAAGTCTATCTTTGAACGAGAATTAATGGCCATAGTCCAAGCTGTTAAAAAGTGGAAACATTAACTAATGGGCAGCCATTTCATCATACTCACAGACCAAAGGTTGTTGACCGAGGAGCAGTTTAAGTGGGCTTCCAAGCTTCTCAGGTTAGACTTTGAGATAAGGTTTAGACCTGGAAAAGATAATCAAGTGGCTGATGATTTGTCTCGCAGGGACTGTTTTAAGGCCATTTCTATCCTCCAGCCAGAGCAATGGAGCACTTGGGAGGAAGAATCACAACAGGATGCTGATTTGGTAGCCTTCATTCAGGATTTACTGTTGGACCCTTCATCTCATGCGGGTTGAGTTACGGAAGGGTAGATTGTTCTACAAAGGTAAATTGGTGTTACCAAAAAATTCTTCCAGTTTGTTTACTATAATTAAAGAGCTGCATGAATCTCCTACAGGCGGCCATAGTGGTTATTTTTGAAATTTTAAAAGGATAGCGGGGGTCCTTTATTGGAAGGGTATGAAAAAAGATATGCAATGGGAGATTTGGAAGTTTTAATTAAATGGAAACACCTACCATCCATTGAAAACAGTTGGGAATCTGCAACAGCCATCAATACAGAGTTTCCTGCTTTTCACCTTGAGGACAAGGTGAAACTTCATAAAGGGGGTATTGATAGGTACAAAGGGAAGGTTTAAAGCAGAAGAAAACCTGTATGAGTTAGTTTTTTGTATGACAGACAGTTTTAACTGTCTGTAAGGTAGTTATTTGTCTGTAATAAGTTACATCTGACTTCTATAAAGTCAGAATGGACAGTTTTAGCAGTTACTATCTTTATTTTGTAACTTGTGAAAGTTAGGGAGGGAGAGGCTGGTTCTGTCTAATAACCAGAAACTTGTATGTTGTTTTGGATCCTTTCTTTAGAGGAAGTTCAGTGAATGCTATATAATATTTTATAGCTTAGCCAAGTTGATTCATATAAGTCTGGAATACCTATCAGTGACTCGTGTCCTTCTCCAATCAGACGCCCCGTACCATGTTCCTGTATAACAAAGGAATTAGCAGAAAAGGTTACAGAACAATTTAAGGAACGAGTCAATTGACCTAAAGAGATTAAATTGTAAGGACAATGAGGAATATACAAAACAGAATTCAATTTTAGTGAAGGAGATAAGGAAACTTTGCCAATTCCCTGCGATGCAACCTTGGATCCATTGGCAACAGTAATGAAATGAGGAATTTTCGGAGAGGAGATGGAAGAAAATGAAGGGATGTTACCAGAGATATGATCTGAGGCACCTGAGTCAAGACATCATTAGCAAAAATATCTTGGACCCTTTTCCAAAAGGAGGAGCATGTCTTATAGGGTCTCAAGATATCTAGAACCTCTTGCTCAACCGATTGCCACAAAACAGCACATAATTGAAAGTCTAATTTTTGCCAATGAGATTTTTCTTCATTCGGGACCATAGAAATATCTTGTTCAAGGTGATTATGGTGTTCTTGACCAAGAAACCACAATTCCACAGCAGAGAACCATGATAAATAATTTTTCCAATTGAGTTTTGCCGTTGTAATGATAAGAGTAGCATATAAAGAGGAATTAATTCCAGGAGAAGAAATGGGACTTAGGGTTTCAAATAACGTGAGGGAGGAAACCCTAGGTATGAGCCCAAGCCAACGAAACAGAGAAACAAGAACCAAAACACACTACGGCGACGGCGGACAGCGGCACGACGCGGACAGTGGCGACAACGCAGACAGCGGAGCAAACTGCAGACAACAGAGTATACTGCGGACAGCAGACAAACTGCGACAGCTCCCATTTTTATGGCCCTTTACCCGAAAACATGGAGGAATCTTATTACAGCTGTGTCAAATAAATGAATGAGAAAACAGTTTTCCATAGAAACTAGAAAAGCATGGAGCCATAAGCTAATACAATAATAATAAAGGTCATTAAACTATTAAAGGAAGTGGACAAATATAAACACCCTCAGTATGATGATCTTAACAGTACATGTAGAAACTCTCACTGAACAGCATACTAAGTAGCATACCTTTGGAACTGCAGCCTGAAAAACAAAATCTGTATATACATTTGAGGTCAAATTTGTAAAGGTAGCCCGAATGTTTGTAGTTTGTAAGTTCCCTGGCTGTTTTGAGAAATTGAACACCAACCTCAAGGAGGTACTCTCAAATGCAGTTATAGATGGATAAACCAGTTCATTGTTTTCTATTCAAGACAAGAGCAGAACGAGGAATTAGTACTTGGACAAGGTATAAATCACCTACTTGCTAAACAATGTTTACCTTCTGTTGGTGGGCTGGGGACAAAACCATCTAATGATTCCACTAAAGGAGCAGCTCCAGCATTTAAAGTTGTTCTAAAAGAAGGTGAAAGCGATGCCAGATCATCTAATGGTGAAAGTGGTGCCTTCTTACTTGGTTTGGGGGACAATATGTCTATTGTAGATGAGTTGCCTTGTGCAGGTAATTCATTTGGTGCAGAAGGCGATCCGATTGACAACAGATCCAAAAGAACATCTGTGCCATTTTCTGAGCGCTGAGCAGCATCTAAAAATGCAAAAGTAAATGTCAGAGATAATATGAATATGTTAAATTGAACAATTCACCATAAAGGAGACAAAATGATTTTACACTATTCCACATAAAAATCCAACATAAACAAAAAAACGCATGTCTTGGGTTTTCCTCGGGAAAAGCAAGCTTCACATTTCAATTTGTACTTTACAAATTACTTATGGCTAATGAAACTAAACCCATAAAATAGTAAGTTTCTGTGATATTTTTAAAACTAAACAACGACTAACTTGTTGGGAAATCTCTCATCATCTACCTCATTTATTAGGGAGAAACTTATTTATTTGTTAGACAACTTTGCTTAACGACAATTAGCTTTAAGATGAAATCTACTATGATTACAGTCTATAACTCACTTTGGTAATTGCCTATTGTGATAGGTTCACTTGTTCTGGCGGGCATCCATGGAGGGAGCTTTGGGAAGTCTCATATTACCTAACTCAATTCTTGGGTATTGAATAAAAATAAATAAATACTAAAAGGATTGTGTACACGCTAAAAAGAGTTGTAATTTTCTGTAACAGAAATCCATTTACAGATTAAAAAATTACAATTGTTATGAAGGAAAAAACAAAAAAGTCAGTTTTATAATTGACCATAAACATATCTCTAACCCCCTCCACAAACTCAAGGTGGGTGAGATCCACCACGAGCTTGGATCTAAGAAAAGTAAAATACTTTGAAAAATGAGTTGCTTGGCAATCACTCTTTCTCAAACAAAGAAAATATCAAGTTCCATGTGCTTTGTCTTGCCATGCAGAATGGGATTATGAGAAAGTTTAACAATACTAAGATCGTCACAATAAACATTTGGAGCACAATCAGCGATAGCAAGTTCACTAAGTAACATTTGAATCCAAAGAAATTAAGTGATGGCAAAGGTAAGACTTCAACATTTTGCTTTTGTACTAGATCAAGCAAAAACTATTTGTTTGTAAGATCACAATTGTTGGAGATCGCACATGTCTAGAGATGAGGTCAAATTACAATACATAAGTGAGTGTGTTAGGTTACTTTATGCCAATAACCTAATCAAGACTCTCTTCTCACCACAACTCTCGAATAAAGAATGGAAAAGTATGTATATATGTATTAATGATGAATGAGTGAATCAGAATACAAGAATCACCCCAAGGAAGCCTAACCTTCCTCCTCTGGAAAATATCCAGTCTGAACAAATTCTCCGATTCCCCTCTCCCCCTACTTAGTTTATTATTTATACCTTCTCTCTCTTCTAACAACTATAACATATTACTCTCCTTACACGTGTCTCACACGTGTCTAACTCATTCTCTTTTATTCCTAACATTNGTGGCTTTGTGACAGTGGCTTTGTGAGTACTGTTAGCAGTTCTGCATCTGGACTGCAACAAAAGAGAGCACCCTTCAAGAAGTTATCTCCCGAAGAGCTGCAAGATAGGATAAAAAAAGGCTTGTGTTTCAGGTGTGATGAGAAATTTGGTCCAAATCATACCTGTAGGAACAAACAGCTTCATATGCTGCTGATTTCTGATGAGGATATCAAAGATTTGGAAGGTGGAAAGGACCTTATACCCTTGCCAACGGAAGAAGGGGAGGACACTACACAAATTTTGCAATTATCCCAATGTGCAATGGCTGGCCTCACTACAAAAAAATCATGGAAATTGTGGGGAACGATTGGCAATGAAAAAGTGGTGATCTTGATTGATTGTGGCGCATCTCACAACTTCATTTCACATGAATTGCTTACCAAATGTGGGCTGCAACAGCAACCCACCTTGCCATATATGGTGGAAGTAGGGGATGGGCACAAGGTGCGTTGCCAAGGGAAGTGCCAGGGGTTGATTCTGGAGGTTCAGGGATTGCAGATTCAGCAAGATTTCTTTGTTTTCTCATTGGGAGGTGTTGATATTGTGCTGAGGTTGGAATGGTTGGCATCCCTTGGGGAAGTTCGGGCTGATTTTGGCAACTTACGTTTGTCTATTGGGAAAGGGCTGCAGGAACATGTTTTAAGGGGAGATCCCACATTATCTAGATTAGAATCCTCTTTAAAATCTTTGTGGCAGGATTTTAAGCAGCAAGGGACATGTTTTGTTATCCAGTGGGAAGAAATTAAGAACTCTGGGACTGTTCCAGTACCACCACAAGTTCTCTCAATTTTGGTAGCCAATGAGGGCATTTTCCAGGAGTAGAGGGCTTACCCCCTAGCAGAGAACATGATCATTCCATCCACTTACAAGAGGGTGCTGCTATTCCTTCTTTGCGGCCCTACAAGTACTCTCATCAACAAAAACATGAGATTGAGAGGTTGGTCCAGGAGATGTTACAAGCAGGAGTTATTAGGCCTAGCACAAGTCCTTATTCTAGCCCCATTATTTTGCGTTGATTATAGGGCTCTAAACAAGGTCACCATTCCCAACAAGTTTCCCATTCCAGTGATAGAGGAGTTGTTGGATGAATTGGCAGGTGCAACCATGTTTTCTAAGCTAGATTTAAAATCTGGTTACCACCAAATTTTGATGCATAAAGAGGATATTGAAAAACCTGCTTTCCGCACCCATGAAGGCCATTATGAATTCCTAGTCATGCCTTTTGGACTGACCAATGCACCAGCAACTTTTCAGGCTTTGATGAATCGGATACTCCAACCTTTTCTGAGGAAATTTGTCCTTGTCTTCTTTGATGATATTCTGATCTACAGTCCAAACTTAGCTACTCATTTGACCCACTTAACAGAGGTTTTTAAGGTGCTGCATTAGCACAAATTGAAGCTCAATAAGAAGAAGTGTGTCTTTGGCCAACTACAATTGGAATATCTGGGCCATATTATTTCCCAACAAGGGGTGGCAGCAGACCCGTGGAAGGATATGGTAAGATTGCCAAACCTCTAACTCAACTATTATCTAAAGAGGGATTCCATTGGATAGCAGAGGCACAACAGGCCTTTGAGGAATTGAAGAAGGCTGTTTCCCAGTTACCAGTTTTGGCAATCCCTGATTTTTCTAAATCATTTACTTTGGAAACAGATGCTTCCAGCAAAGGTCTGGGAGCTGTTCTGTTACAAGAAGGGAGGCCATTAGCTTTTTGGAGTCAAGCTTTATCAGAAAGGGGCCAACAAAAGTCTATCTTTGAACGAGAATTAATGGCCATAGTCCAAGCTGTTAAAAAGTGGAAACATTAACTAATGGGCAGCCATTTCATCATACTCACAGACCAAAGGTTGTTGACCGAGGAGCAGTTTAAGTGGGCTTCCAAGCTTCTCAGGTTAGACTTTGAGATAAGGTTTAGACCTGGAAAAGATAATCAAGTGGCTGATGATTTGTCTCGCAGGGACTGTTTTAAGGCCATTTCTATCCTCCAGCCAGAGCAATGGAGCACTTGGGAGGAAGAATCACAACAGGATGCTGATTTGGTAGCCTTCATTCAGGATTTACTGTTGGACCCTTCATCTCATGCGGGTTGAGTTACGGAAGGGTAGATTGTTCTACAAAGGTAAATTGGTGTTACCAAAAAATTCTTCCAGTTTGTTTACTATAATTAAAGAGCTGCATGAATCTCCTACAGGCGGCCATAGTGGTTATTTTTGAAATTTTAAAAGGATAGCGGGGGTCCTTTATTGGAAGGGTATGAAAAAAGATATGCAATGGGAGATTTGGAAGTTTTAATTAAATGGAAACACCTACCATCCATTGAAAACAGTTGGGAATCTGCAACAGCCATCAATACAGAGTTTCCTGCTTTTCACCTTGAGGACAAGGTGAAACTTCATAAAGGGGGTATTGATAGGTACAAAGGGAAGGTTTAAAGCAGAAGAAAACCTGTATGAGTTAGTTTTTTGTATGACAGACAGTTTTAACTGTCTGTAAGGTAGTTATTTGTCTGTAATAAGTTACATCTGACTTCTATAAAGTCAGAATGGACAGTTTTAGCAGTTACTATCTTTATTTTGTAACTTGTGAAAGTTAGGGAGGGAGAGGCTGGTTCTGTCTAATAACCAGAAACTTGTATGTTGTTTTGGATCCTTTCTTTAGAGGAAGTTCAATGAATGCTATATAATATTTTATAGCTTAGCCAAGTTGATTCATATAAGTCTGGAATACCTATCAGTGACTCGTGTCCTTCTCCAATCAGACGCCCCGTACCATGTTCCTGTATAACAAAGGAATTAGCAGAAAAGGTTACAGAACAATTTAAGGAACGAGTCAATTGACCTAAAGAGATTAAATTGTAAGGACAATGAGGAATATACAAAACAGAATTCAATTTTAGTGAAGGAGATAAGGAAACTTTGCCAATTCCCTACGATGCAACCTTGGATCCATTGGCAACAGTAATGAAATGAGGAATTTTCGGAGAGGAGATGGAAGAAAATGAAGGGATGTTACCAGAGATATGATCTGAGGCACCTGAGTCAAGACATCATTAGCAAAAATATCTTGGACCCTTTTCCAAAAGGAGGAGCATGTCTTATAGGGTCTCAAGATATCTAGAACCTCTTGCTCAACCGATTGCCACAAAACAGCACATAATTGAAAGTCTAATTTTTGCCAATGAGATTTTTCTTCATTCGGGACCATAGAAATATCTTGTTCAAGGTGATTATGGTGTTCTTGACCAAGAAACCACAATTCCACAGCAGAGAACCATGATAAATAATTTTTCCAATTGAGTTTTGCCGTTGTAATGATAAGAGTAGCATATAAAGAGGAATTAATTCCAGGAGAAGAAATGGGACTTAGGGTTTCAAATAACGTGAGGGAGGAAACCCTAGGTATGAGCCCAAGCCAACGAAACAGAGAAACAAGAACCAAAACACACTACGGCGACGGCGGACAGCGGCACGACGCGGACAGTGGCGACAACGCAGACAGCGGAGCAAACTGCAGACAACAGAGTATACTGCGGACAGCAGACAAACTGCGACAGCTCCCATTTTTATGGCCCTTTACCCGAAAACATGGAGGAATCTTATTACAGCTGTGTCAAATAAATGAATGAGAAAACAGTTTTCCATAGAAACTAGAAAAGCATGGAGCCATAAGCTAATACAATAATAATAAAGGTCATTAAACTATTAAAGGAAGTGGACAAATATAAACACCCTCAGTATGATGATCTTAACAGTACATGTAGAAACTCTCACTGAACAGCATACTAAGTAGCATACCTTTGGAACTGCAGCCTGAAAAACAAAATCTGTATATACATTTGAGGTCAAATTTGTAAAGGTAGCCCGAATGTTTGTAGTTTGTAAGTTCCCTGGCTGTTTTGAGAAATTGAACACCAACCTCAAGGAGGTACTCTCAAATGCAGTTATAGATGGATAAACCAGTTCATTGTTTTCTATTCAAGACAAGAGCAGAACGAGGAATTAGTACTTGGACAAGGTATAAATCACCTACTTGCTAAACAATGTTTACCTTCTGTTGGTGGGCTGGGGACAAAACCATCTAATGATTCCACTAAAGGAGCAGCTCCAGCATTTAAAGTTGTTCTAAAAGAAGGTGAAAGCGATGCCAGATCATCTAATGGTGAAAGTGGTGCCTTCTTACTTGGTTTGGGGGACAATATGTCTATTGTAGATGAGTTGCCTTGTGCAGGTAATTCATTTGGTGCAGAAGGCGATCCGATTGACAACAGATCCAAAAGAACATCTGTGCCATTTTCTGAGCGCTGAGCAGCATCTAAAAATGCAAAAGTAAATGTCAGAGATAATATGAATATGTTAAATTGAACAATTCACCATAAAGGAGACAAAATGATTTTACACTATTCCACATAAAAATCCAACATAAACAAAAAAACGCATGTCTTGGGTTTTCCTCGGGAAAAGCAAGCTTCACATTTCAATTTGTACTTTACAAATTACTTATGGCTAATGAAACTAAACCCATAAAATAGTAAGTTTCTGTGATATTTTTAAAACTAAACAACGACTAACTTGTTGGGAAATCTCTCATCATCTACCTCATTTATTAGGGAGAAACTTATTTATTTGTTAGACAACTTTGCTTAACGACAATTAGCTTTAAGATGAAATCTACTATGATTACAGTCTATAACTCACTTTGGTAATTGCCTATTGTGATAGGTTCACTTGTTCTGGCGGGCATCCATGGAGGGAGCTTTGGGAAGTCTCATATTACCTAACTCAATTCTTGGGTATTGAATAAAAATAAATAAATACTAAAAGGATTGTGTACACGCTAAAAAGAGTTGTAATTTTCTGTAACAGAAATCCATTTACAGATTAAAAAATTACAATTGTTATGAAGGAAAAAACAAAAAAGTCAGTTTTATAATTGACCATAAACATATCTCTAACCACCTCCACAAACTCAAGGTGGGTGAGATCCACCACGAGCTTGGATCTAAGAAAAGTAAAATACTTTGAAAAATGAGTTGCTTGGCAATCACTCTTTCTCAAACAAAGAAAATATCAAGTTCCAAGTGCTTTGTCTTGCCATGCAGAATGGGATTATGAGAAAGTTTAACAATACTAAGATCGTCACAATAAACATTTGGAGCACAATCAGCGATAGCAAGTTCACTAAGTAACATTTGAATCCAAAGAAATTAAGTGATGGCAAAGGTAAGACTTCAACATTTTGCTTTTGTACTAGATCAAGCAAAAACTATTTGTTTGTAAGATCACAATTGTTGGAGATCGCACATGTCTAGAGATGAGGTCAAATTACAATACATAAGTGAGTGTAAACCTCATCTTACAAGTTGATTTTGTAGGATTGAGTTAGGGTTAAAATCTACTTAAAAAAATATGAAACTAAAGAAGGACCAAGATATAATGCTCTAGAAGTGGATTGACGATCATCTACATCAACATGCCAGTCTGCATCACAAAATGTTTTAACCATTATAGGTTGATTAGGAAGAGCAGGAATAATTTGGATACCATAATAAAAGTGTTTCCTTTAAATATCTTAATATTCATTTTACATTAGTTCAATGAAGTTTGAGAGGGGTTGACATAAACACACAAACTTTGTCAACAGATAACCATATTTTCGGTCAACTGATACTGAGATATTGAATATAAGCACCACAGATCTACAAAAAGATGGATTAGATAATAACCAAAAGCTTGTTTAGAGAGTTTACAGCCTGAAAACATTGGAGGAGAAATAGACTCAGCCTCAAGTATGTTAGTCTTGGCAAGACGGTGCTGAACATATTTAGTTTGAGAAATAAGACAAGACCCATTGGATTGAGTTGAACTTCTATACCAAGAAAGTATATTTGATAATGATATTATCATCATACTGATGAGACATGTTTTGTGCACACATTTATATCTTTATTGTACAGTGTGCACACATTTATATCTTTATTGTACAGTGAAAACACTTTAAATATGTTCGCAGCGAAAACACAAAAATATATAACTGATATGTTGGCAGAGAGACAAGAAATATTAGGTGCAGACCCACATCAACTTCAATGGATGCTAATCACAAGCTACGTAAGACTGAAGAGGAACCAACGGTTGACAAAAAGATGTACCAGAGACTGGTTGGAAAACTAATATATCTAGCACACACCATGCCAGACATTGCTTATTCCAGTTCATGAACCGAAGGAATCTCATCTTAAAGCTGCTTACAAGATTCCGCATTACTTAAAGGGAGTTCTATTAAAAAAGAATGAAAGACTTAATCTTGAAGCCTACACTGACAGAGACTATGTTGGTTCCCTTGTTGATACAAGACCAACAACTGAATATTGTACTTTCCTAGGTGGAAACCTAGTGACATGGAGGACTAAAAAACAGAACGTGGTGGGTAGATCATCAGCTGCATTAAGAAATAGGTGAGTTATTATGGATAAAAATTATCTTAAATGACTTGAAGATTAATTTTGAGAGTCCCATGAAGCTAGACTGTGACATTAAGTCTACAATAGACATTGCACATAATCCCATCCAGCATGACAGGACAAAACACGTTGAAATAAATAGACACTTTATCAAAGAAAAATTAGAAGGTCTAATACAAAAGGTCTAATACGCATGTCATACATTCTGTTAGAATAATTACTGTTATATATCATCATTAAGGCTTGTCTGCTAGACCATTAATGAGTCGTACCTAGTTCGGTACCTAGAGGTCTAGTGCAGACTCTTGATGTTCCATGTACTCTTGTGTTTTCAATATATATAGAAGATAATGAGAGGGATCTGTTAAGCCCTCAAGAATATATTTTATCAGTTTTAATCTCAAGTCATTCCTTCCCGGGAGCAGGTAGCTGATGTGCTAAAGAAAGATCTAAATAGCTCAATCTTCTTCATAAGAAAGCTGGGAATGACAAATAGCTATTCCTCAGATTGAGCTTGAGGGAGGGGGGGTCAGAATATGTGGAAATATTATATATTTATTGTACAATATAGTATTTTTTGAAATCCCTAAAATTAAGTGATCGGGATTAGGAATTATTTAGCATATTTGCTCCAGATTTCGGATCTTTATTTCAGGAAATTTATTTCCTTAATTAGGATATTTATTCCTTCTTAAATACCTATGCATTATTCCTCAAATAATCAAGGAAAATTATTCCACAAAATAGTTCTCTGCCTACCTCGTTTTGTAACAGGAGTTGGTGGTGGAACGAAACTACAAAACCACCATCAGGATCAGCATTATGGGTTTGCAAAGTATCACCTGAGTAGCTACAAACGGCAAAGAGAAAGGAGGTATAACATTTTCTAAAGGCATCGATCACTGTGCTCTTGATATGATATTTAACGAGAAATTTGATACTAAAAAGAAAATGTGCATGCTAAAAAGAGTTGTAACTCTGTTACAAAAACCTATATATAGATTGAAGAATTACAACGGTTACGAGGGAAAAAACAGTAAAGTAAGTTTATAATTCACAGTAAACAGAAAAGAGAAATATCTCTAACATTGGGTACAATTTATATATTTGGACAACTTTGCTTAAGTTCAATTGGTTTTAAGATGAAATCTAACATAACATTAGTTCTTTTGGCTTTCGTAGAGCCAAGATTTTTGGCAGTGTGTCTTTCCAGTTCTTTGACTTCTTTAACAGGAAAGGAATGCCAGAGTTTTCAAGGGAGCCTTTTCACCTATAGATGACGATTGGGACAGGTATTTTATCTATCCTTTAATCAGATGCTCATGGTCGCTATAGGGATTTTACTTACAAAATGATTGACATGTCCTGTTATGTGACTAATATCTTAGGTTTTAGGTGTCTTGTCATCTTTCTGCATTCTTCTGCTCCTCCAAAAGATTTTTTCAATCTAAGAAAATTGTCAAACCCGTATTGATAAAAAAATAGAGCTACTTACCTTTTATTTATGGAATAATAAACAATGACGGCAATTATTAGGTACAAACACTTCATTTATAGAAGCATTATGATAATTTATAAGATACACTACAAACACTAACCAGACTGCTGAGCTGCCAATGAAATATTGACACCAAGAAGGTCATGAAGAAGATCACCACCTGAAGAGCTTGGTATAGGAGCATCATCTGAATTTATATCAAGGAGATCTACAATAGGAGCCACAGCTTTGGCTACTCCATTTGTAGGTGTTGAAGCTGCATCTGGCAAAGATCCAGCCCTCCTAGCAATGAAAGTAGCCTCATCCAGAACTGGCATCCTCTCTACAAGTGTAGGCCTGCACGATGATAAATATTTTCCCTATATGGATTTCCACTTAAGGGTATAGTAGCAATTTAAGCTTTTGAAATAATATATTATACGTACAAATTGCTTAACCTCACCTAATATTTTGATGCTTTGCCATAATCAAATTGAATTCTATGGATCTTTGCTGCAATTCTAACACAAAGTTCCCTTTGTACTGAACGACTATTTCCCTGATTCTCCTACATATTGAATGGGAACGCTTTCGCGTCAAATGTACAAATACAAGCAAGATTTGAGCTTATTATAGGAACATATGTATTTGATGTGTAGGGGTGAAGATACATGGATGAAAAAGAACCATGTTTTGTTAGAGATGAAAACACAGGCATATGGGATCTGATAAGGCCATAAGTGTTACTATTTTGAGCTAGATCTGCTGGGTTATACTAAAATATAATATAGCATTCATCAAAAGTAAAGGCAGGAAAAAAGTAAAATAAATTACACTCCCCTCCCTTGAGAGAACAAGTATCTATGCCATTGTTCACATCTCTTATAATTGAAATACGCAGTTTAGTTCATTTACCTTATAACCAAAAAATAAATTACTTACAAGATTTTAAAATATTTTTTAACTACATTATAATAAAAAATTAATTTAAAAGTTATCGTTTGTTCACACGATGTCCTAACATTGTTTCCTATCTACACATCAACATTGTTTCTCTTTCCTAAGGCGCTGCAAGCAAAGTAAACACTTTGGAATGACAAAAATGTCTAACTAAATTAGCTGTTAGTACATTGGAGAAAGAATTGAGGACCAGAAATATATTATAAAAACAAAAATAATTTAGTAGCATACATTTTTGTAAAAAAAGTGCGAAACGTGATAGACAATGATTTTCTGATAAAAAGAATATTCTTTGATAGAAACTATTATATATTTTACAGAAGAAAACTGTTGAAAACCGTGATGTACGTTTCGTCTATTAAAGAAGAAAATTATATATCTTAAAATAAGAAAAACGAAAAATGTACCATAAAAAATCTTAAGGTAGGAGATTGTAAAAGATATTTAGGTCATAAAATTGTTTCTAAGGAAAAGTTTCAAAATAGAGTGAAGTGTAATATATTAGGTGTAATAACTTGCATCTCTTAGGAGATGGTCGGGTTAAAAAGGATATTTTAGTAATAAACTCTTTTAATGGAAATTAATGAAACATTAACAAGTTTAAAATAATATCATATAACCAAATATGTTAGGGTAGGGAAGTGTGTATTTAACATAGGGAACGACAATATAATACTCGCATGTCTTACTTAGGAGAAAAAAGTGCAATTTACTCAGAAAATTTCCATTTTAAGGTATAATGTAATAGATATGTATAACCAAATCAACAGAGGAAAATCATACTCTGAAAAGGAAGGAAACCGTGAAGATAGCTTCAATAGGGCAACCAAAGTCATTGCTTTTGTGGTAATATCCAATGAGTGCCGTTTTAAAGCAATCTCTACAACATGCACAACATCTGACTCAGTCACCTGCTTGCATGAAACAAATGAAGGATGAAAAAAAAAACAGTAATATTAGAATGTAATGAAAGATAAATTCTCTAGAATTTTCAAGGTGCTACAATATACATTACAGGCAGAGCGTTTGATAGGTTCAAGGGAAATATTTATATTAGGAGAAATAAAAGGGACAAACAGTTATAACTATCTGTGGATAGCTTTTATTGTCTCACAATTTTATAAAGTATGTGTAGGCAGTTGTTTTTAGCAGTTTTTCATTGTTTTTTTTGTACATTCTGAAAAGAATAGGAAGAGTGGAGAGTTTGGTTTTCTCGAATAACCAGAAATTGTATGTGTTGGGTTTCTCCACATTGGAGGAAACTTGGTACGTTGTTGGAATAAAGATCTGCAGTTTCTAAAACATCTCATTATAGGTATGAAAACCTATCATTGGTATTCAGAGCCTCATTCCTGGTGAAGTGGGGGTGATAGACACCAAACAATAACTGAATATCAAAAGTATTATTTAGAGTATTATGCAGTAAAAAAGATGATTGAGCTGAAAGCTCTACAGCCACAAGGAAACCCTAGAGTACTAGACTCCTCCAGAGGATTACTCTCCTCCTAACCAACTCACAACCTCCTACTCCAGTGCCCCCTCCACACTCTCACTTCTCTCTCCTATAACAGAATTTCCCCATACCTGGATTCTTGACACGTCATTCCCCATCCTAACTAACTTCTCACTATTTCTTTTCCTAACCCCACTTTCTTTCTTCATACATAAACATTCTATATTTTGGGCCTATCTGTTCCTTCTATAAATTTTCCTTGTTGAGTAACAGGCCATGTGCACTTCCCACCTTATGAACCTTATTAGGAGTCCTATCATTACTCCCTTCTGCAACAGCAGCCTTGTCCTCAAGGCTGAAAGAAGGAAATTGACTCAGTAGTAGCACCTCATCTTCCCAAGTTGTCTCCTTCTCTGATATTCCCTTCCACTCCACTAACCATTGTTTGATGTTGTTATCTTCCTCCTCAAGAGTCAACTTTTTTGGTAAAGTTAGTTCTACTGCATGGTTTTTAATAGCCTTTATTAGTTGGGAAAAAACTAAATGTACTTTGGCTGATTCCGACAACTGCACCCTATAAGACACTTCTCCAATTTCTACAACTACTAAAAAAAACCATAATACCAAGCTGCCCACTTCTGATTAATAAGTCGAGCCATGATTAGGTGTCTATGTGGTCGCAATTTGATAAACACCCACTCTCCCACCTCCAACTACATGAATCAATGTTTTTTGTCTATAAATGTCTTCATTTACGGTTGAACTCACAACAAGTAATATTTCAATTGTCGAATGGCTTCCTCTTTATCAACCAAGTTAGCGGCTACAACTTCCACACGCTTTTCTCCTTGTGTAAAGCGCACTAATACAAAACATTGTAAATAAGCTTCTAAACATCGGTCTCAGGATGATAAGAAGAACTCATTTTCAGAGTTGCTTCCTTTAACCGAAATAATTCAATTTCCTTAGCAAGCAATTCAGCAATTTTCCTTGCAGTTTTAGGATGTTTTAGCAAAATAAATTGGCCATATTTAGACAACCAATCCATCACTACAAATATTGCTTGAAACCCTTTCAGTTTTGGTAAAGTTGTAATGAAGTCTAAAGAAATGTCTTCCAAAATTCTATCTGGAATAGGCAAGGGCTGAAGTAATGTTGTTGAAGACATGGCTTCATATTTTTTAAATTTCTAACCTGGTAGTTCTAGATATTTGTCTTGCCAAAGGAAACTTAGAGTCATCTCTTCCCAATCAAAAGTAACCTTCCCAAATCTCCGCAACCAAAAAACTCCCAAAATCATGTCTATGTCTTCCAACTCCAACACATATGGCTCCACCGTAGTAGAGAATTCTCCTAGTTGAACATCCAACTTCTCACATTTCCCCGTAGTAGACACCTTGTGCCCATATCCTAGACGTACCCCAATCAGTTTTCTTTTGTTCACTTTCAACTCCAAAGCAGCCACTACATGAGGAGAGATGAAATTGTTACTAGTCCCATTATCAATCAGCACTCCCAGGGTTACTGCATTGAGACGACCCTTTATGCGCAGAGTGAAGGGCGTTACGACCATCCCACGACACTTCAACCTCTGCGAACAGCTCCATAGAACCACACTCCAAGGTAGGATCATCTTCCTCTTCTCGCATCCCACTCTCGATAACCTCCCCCGCTTAGTTTACTGTTTTGTCATCAGCTAATGCCACCATTCTTAGTTGCCGCTCCGTACAACGATGCAAGGGGTGGTATTTTTCACCGCATCTAAAACTAAGCCCCTGAGCTTTCCTGTTCATCAATTCAGAGTAAGGAAAATGCTTCGTGCCGCGATTCCGATCGGCAGTCGAAGAACGATCACCAGAAACGCAATTGTTTTGTGTCACCGAACGTGACTCTTGAGGGCTCGAACTTCCTACTGATAAGGGTTTAGTTTGGGTGCCCTGTGTTGGGCCTAATCCAATTCCTAATCTTCCTATATTTGGGCCTTGACCCGACCCTGATCCAAACTTCACTCCATGACCTGTACCCCAATCTCGATTGCTTTTCCAACCCCGTACTCCTCCTCCACATTGAAATCCCTCTCCTCACAATTCTGCTTCCACAGCTCGAGCCAGGCGCATGGCTTGAAGACGATTCATAGGGTTGAAGGTGCGAACCCTCCGTCGAATCTCCGATTTCAATCCTCCAATAAAATAGCCCAGATATTGCTCCTCAGTAAACGAGATACTTGAGATGAGATGTACTCAAACACTGCCAGGTACTCATCTACGCTATCCATCTGTGACAAATCTTTCAACTCCTCGAAAGGATTATCGCTAGTACGACCACCATAACAACTGATCAACTCCCTTTTTAACTTGGTCCACGACAACCCCACTTCTACTTCTTGTAGAAGATTGAACCAATGAATGGTTGCACCTTCCATACTTAATTTGGCTAATCGGACCTTCACCTCCTTCGTTGATCCTTGCACTTTAAAATATGTCTCTACCCTCGTAATCCATCCCACCGGTCAGTACCATCAAATGATGGCAATTCCACCCTCTTTGTTGTCGTCCTATACTCTTCCCCTGAATCCATATCTAAAAATGGAGATTCTCGACGATCTCCCACTTGCTCGTTGCGTAACTTAGTAAACTCTTCCAACAGTAATTGGCGAAATTCCCCCAACATCTCTCGTACTGACACTTCCATCGCTAACAATCTCTCCTCTCACGCTTCAACTCGGTCGGACATTTTGGATGGCATGGACAACAATGCTAGCTCTTCTTGGGATCCGGCAGGTCGGACCAATGATAGACACCAAACAATAACTGAATATCAAAAGTTGTATCATTAAGAGTATTATGCAGTAAAAATGATGATTGAGCTGAAAGCTCTACAGCCACAAGGAAACCCAAGAGTACTAGACTCCTCCAGAGAATTACTCTCCTCCTAACCAACTGACAACCTCCGACTCCAGTGCCCCTTCCACACTCTCACTTCTCTCTCCTATAACAGAATTTCCCCATCCCTGGATTCTTGACACGTCATTTCCCATCCTAAATAACTTCTCACTATTTATTTTCCTAACCCCACTTTCTTTCTTCATACACAAACATTCTATATTTTGGGCCTATCTGTTCCTTCTATAAATTTTCCTTGTTGAGTAACAGGCCCATGTACACTACCCACCTTATGATCCTTATTAGGAGTCCTATCAGGGGGCATATTGCAGGTTATGGTCAACACAAGAACGGAGTCAAGATGGGATGGGTTGGAGAAGATCGTCCACGAATAAGAAAACGAGAATAATCGACGCTTCCCGCGGTTAGAAGAGATGTTTCAAGGTCTAACAGGGGTGGTTGAAAGCCTGGCATCCTCTCTACTAAGAATCAAGAGGCCCAAGATTCTATTGCCATGGATGGCCGTGAGGATAGTGGGGGTAATGAAGGAGGAAGTTCTAATGGGATTTCTGCCACATGGAGGAAGTTGGACATTCCTGTGTTTGCAGGGGACGAGGCTTATGGGTGGACCAATAGATTAGAACGGTATTTCCGTTTGAAAGGGGTTAGTGAGGAGGAGTGAATGAAGGTTGTTATGGTGGCATTGGAGGGGAAAGCTTTGACTTGGTTTCAATGGTGGGAAACCTGCCATCCGCATCCAACATGGGAAACCTTCAAAGATGCGGTGGTTAGAAGATTTCAGCCAACAATGTTGCAAAACCCATTTGAAGTTTTGCTTGGCTTGCGTCAAACTGGACCTATAGGAGAATATATTGAGCAGTTTGAACAATATGCAGGGTTCATGAAAGGAATGCAACAAGATTACTTGGTGGGCATATTCTTGAATGGGCTGAAGGAAGACATAAAGGCAGAGGTTAAACTTTATGAACCCCATAATCTTGATGAGTTAATGATTAAGGCTCAAATGGTGGAGGAAAAGGTTAGAGTCACCACCAAGGGGGACTCTCTCATTGTGCAACTTCAAAGTGACACCTATAGACAATTGCCACCTACTTGCAATTACTCACAGGAAGGGAGAAATCTAGTGGGTTTTACCAACTCCAACAAAGGAAGTGGAGAGAGAAGTGGTTGTGTGAGCACCATCAATAGTTATCCTACTGGGACTCAACAAGAAGGGAGACCATTTAGAAAATTGTCCCAAGAAGAATTGCAAGATAAGATTAAAAAGGGCTTATGCTTCAGGTGTGATGAAAAGCCTGGGCCTAATCAAACTTGCAAAAATAAACTGCTCCATATGCTGCTTATTTCACAAGAGGGAATGCAGGAATTAGGGGAATTTGCTACCTGCATTCATAAAGAATTTCCAGAATTTCACCCTGAGGATAAGGTGCACCTTCATGGAGGGAGTACTGATAGGTTTGATACAGTTTACAAAATAAGGAAAAAAGAAGGTAGTTCGTCTAGTTGAAAACATCTCTCACCCATTGAAAACAGCTAGGAAAATGCTACTACCATC